GTCCCTTCCAACCCAAACCATTCTACAATTCCAGGAAAATCAATTTGCCAAAGAAAACACCAAAACAAAAATCAGGAGATAAGCAATAGGGCTTTTTTTTTTAGCATAGGTTCTTATACAAATACATGAAAAGAACATCATCAAAGCTGTTCCTCACCTACACAACATTTATTTTTAAAGACAATCTTTTCCTGGATCCAGGTTGAAAACTCATACATAATTGTTGTCTCCTGAATTACATCAGTTTGAGAGACCAGAAAAATGCTGTGTAGGAAGTGGCCTGTGTATGTAGCGACTTCCTCCACTTACCACCAGGACCACCACATACGACACGTTACAGGTACACGTCGCTTCATTATGCCAGTCACACAGCATTACAGGGCATGGCCATATACAATAGATTTAGCCAATGGCAAACCACAGCAGAGTTCCTGCTCTGCTTTTACTGAGAAGGCCAACAAGTCTCCTGCCCTTGCCACCCACTGTGTTTTTCCTTTTTGCTTTGTATCCTGAGGACCTGCATTGATAGCTGTAATTGATTGACCAGACAGGACACAAAAGAGTGCCAAACACGCAGACCATGCAGCTGAATGCCAGTCAGTGGCACCCTGCTGAATGCAGCGCCTGGGTACATGTCTGTCATTTCAGCTTATCCTAGCTAATTAATTGTAGCCCAATGAGAAGCAAAATATTTGTGTCAAATTTAGGCTTGGTCAGTGTGCAAGAAAACTGAGTTATCGTTTAAATTGTGAGGCTCTTTCTGACCCATTTGAACTGTGTAGGAGCTCTAAGGTCAGGAGTAACTACTGTCACAGATCGGTGTTGAGGACAGCCTCTTTTCTTCCAGTTGTGACTTCACCTTTGTTCATATCAGACAAGCAAGAGCAATACAAGAGTCAAAAATACCCTGAGTCAGAAATCCTCTTTTTCAGGACATAGCCTGCAGTCCAAGGGTGTGGAAAATCCAATTCTGTACAAATATAGCTGAGGGTAGTTAATGATCCTTTAACCAGTCCAGTTGATGTATGTGAAATGTTACAAAACAATGAAAGAACAAGCCCTTTCTAAGCCCGGAGCAGGGCAGCATCAATTCACATTTTGTCTCGATCTATGGTATAGATCGCAAAGGGACAGAAGGTCACGGATGTGTAGAAATAAGTTTTGTTTCTGAATGCGTGTAAATTTTCCATGTTGTATTTGCTGACATATAATGAAGGTGTTCAGATATTAGGAAATTTAGATTAATATGTATCTGTTAAATCCTACATTTCTAATGTTGGTTCTACTAAAAAGTACTGAAATATGAAGAGATTTACCAGGACCTTTGCGGCAAGGATTAATGCACTTCCATCAAATTCACTCCACATATCAGGGATCAAACTACTTCAGATGTTATACTTTATGGGGACTGATTGACTTCAGGGGAGAAAAGATGGTACATTTGTTTACATGTAATTATTTCTCTGTGAAATGCCAAACTTCTTTTTTAAGTTTTTACTCTTTGCTGTTTCCAGTCAACCACGTCACACTCTCATTCACTGACTTTGATATTGAAAATAAACAAAACTGTACAGCAGATTTTGTGGAGATTTTGGATGGGAATAACTACGAGGCTCCTCTGCAAGGTATTGTACCTTTCCCTTTTTTATTTCATATGCAGAACTACACCCAAAGTACGCAGGAGAAGTTTTTCTGTGCATGTTCTCCTGCTTCATGGATTTTCTCTGATAAAGGAAGCTCCTTGGCCACTCTGGACAGAGGAGACCAGGGGTGGAGGATAAGTCTTCAGTGTGAATGGCACAGTCCTCCCAGGGTCTGACTGTATTCTCACTAACCTGCAGTTTCAAGTTGACTCCAGCTGCCTTTTCCTTCCTCCGCTGAACAATATTGGGAACCAAGCAATTCAAACTGAATTCCCAGTTAACTGTACAAAAACATAGTGTAACCCATACTCATAAGAATAGTCCACACTAAACATAGGTGAAGAAAGCTGCAGATTTCTGGGAGCAGAAAATGGATTTTCCTCAAGCTGTGGAAAGCCTGACTTTCTGCTTATTCTTGATTTTTCTACAGCTTTCTCTTGACATCTCTGTCCAGAGCCATCACCTTCAAGTGGCACAGGGTGGTCCTGACTCCCCTCACATCCCCAGGGTTGTCTCAGATTCCTTTTGGGGAAATTCAGAATATCTGTGCCTGATTATGCTCTCCCTTACTCTACTTTTGTATGTGGTCCTTTGTCAGGAGTTGGGCTGCACTCAATTGAAATGGTTTGTAACTAAAAGCAGAATTCATATTTTGGTCTCCTACCCTTAGCTTTCACTTGGCAAGAGGACCAGGATACTATCTTTCTTTTTGCTGTCAGATGCCTTTCTGCTAGATCATGATTCATATTCCTAGTTCCCATGTTACAATCCATTGCAGAACTGGTCTGTAATTTGTCACTTGTTTTTTTCATCAGAAACCAATTGAGTGAAATGGAAACTATTGTCAGATATATTTGATGGGACTTTCCCCCCCCCCACCCCCACCCCG